TGTCTTAATTTAGTTATGGTGTCTTGATTTGGTTATGTTGTCCTGATTTGGTTATGTTGTCTTGATTTGGTTGTGGTGTCTTGATTTGGTTATGTTGTCTTGATTTGGTTATGTTGTCTTGATTTGGTTGTGGTGTCTTGATTTGGTTATGTTGTCTTGATTTGGTTATGTTGTCTTGATTTGGTTATGTTGTCTTGATTTGGTTGTGGTGTCTTGATTTGGTTGTGTTGTCTTGATTTGGATATGTTGTCTTGATTTGGTTGTGGTGTCTTGATTTGGTTATGTTGTCTTGATTTGGTTATGTTGTCTTGATTTGGTTATGTTGTCTTGATTTGGATATGTTGTCTTGATTTGGTTGTGGTGTCTTGATTTGGTTGTGTTGTCTTGATTTGGATATGTTGTCTTGATTTGGTTGTGTGTCTTGATTTGGTTATGTTGTCTTGATTTGGTTGTTGTCTTGATTTGGTTGTGTTGTCTTGATTTGGATATGTTGTCTTGATTTGGTTGTGGTGTCTTGATTTGGTTGTGTTGTCTTTGGTTGTGTTGTCTTTGGTTGTGGTGCCTTGATTTGGTTGTGTTGTCTTGATTTGTTTATGTTGTCTTGATTTGGTTCTGTTGTCTCTGGTTATGGTGTCTTGATTTGGTTGTGGTGTCTTGATTTGGTTGTGTTGTCTTGATTTGGTTGTGTTGTCTTTGGTTGTTGTGTTGTCTTTGGTTGTTGTGGTGTCTTTGGTTGTGGTGTCTTAATTTAGTTATGGTGTCTTGATTTGGTTATGTTGTCCTGATTTGGTTATGTTGTCTTGATTTGGTTGTGTGTCTTGATTTGGTTATGTTGTCTTGATTTGGTTATGTTGTCTTGATTTGGTTGTGGTGTCTTGATTTGGTTATGTTGTCTTGATTTGGTTATGTTGTCTGATTTGGTTATGTTGTCCTGATTTGGTTATGTTGTCTTGATTTGGTTATGTTGTCTTGATTTGGTTATGTTGTCCTGATTTGGTTATGGTGTCTTGATTTGGTTGTGTTGTCTTTGGTTGTGGTGTCTTGATTTGGTTGTGGTGTCTTGATTTGTTTATGTTGACCTGATTTGGTTGTGTTATCTTTGTTTGGTTGGTTGACTTTGTTGATGGTTATTTTCTGCAGCAGTTGTTTTCTTAAAGCTCCTGGGAGGATTGTTTTGGTTGGTTATGGAGCTCACTTATACTGATATCGTTAAATGGTTTACAAAAGCAAACAAGACCTTAAGATAGAATATATTCTTCTGTGAAGTTATTCTTATTTGTTACTGCTTTCAGCGGGTTGGTGTCATTTTCTACAGCCAAGATTCAGAGTTAGGGATACATGTGACGGTTCAAACTTGGCAGAAGGAGATTTTTCATCAGTAAACACAACTTACACAAGCACAGGACAAGATCAGCGAAGAGATAAGAGGTCAAACTTTTTCCCCAGGGGATGCTTAGTGTGACACAAAGGTTTTTAGTTGTACGGTGTTAAGCTCTCAGGTTCACAGCCATATTGTCTTTAGTGGAAATTCATCCTTTGTAATTAGCATTTAAAACTCAAATGTCATTATATATAATGAGGTAAAATAAGTGTAGAAAGAAGTTTTTTATAAACATGTTTGCATGCTTGTTATCCTAATTTACCTTACACACATTTAAGCCATCATAAGAACTGTTTTGTATCCCAGCTCCATTGGTTGCCTGATAAATCATTCAACAAAAATAGCTATTGTAGCTTTTTTTTAACACTTTATCATACTTAGGGTATTATAAAAACTATCCCTTCATCCAGTGTATCCTCTGGAGTAACTAGGGTTCATCTTAAAAGCAGGAGATATGGTGACACACCATCTTTATATGACTGAAATACATTAAAAAAACTACAACAGGCTGTATAGCCGATATACAAATAGACTATATGAAGTATATTTAATTTCTAAGAACTTAAGGTTATATATATCAATACTGTTTTCAAGTTCATTAATATTTCACAACTGATGGCAAGACAATGCTTTAATTTTTTAGAATGAAATAGAAACAATGTCATAGGTGACAATATTGTTGAAAGCAGCGGGTTGACTCTGAGTGTCATCATATAAATCATATGTAAGATAGAAAATATGAGACCAAATGTATTAGGAATAACTATAAAATGTTTAATTACATATATATTGCAGAATACAATTATATTGTGTCTTGTTAAGTCTTAATCTATTGTTTGTGGCCACCACCTCCCACATACACATCCATAGGGCCCCATTGTACCAGATCGCCCTGAAATCCTGGCTGCACTAGTTTCCTGTTAGGGGCTGGTGACAGCAGAGGGTCAAGTGAAAAGTCAAATAACTTTCTTTTATGTTGAGATAACAGTCTAAAGAAGATACAAATGACATATTTTAATGTTTGGTGTCTTACTTAAAAATGACAGACTTTGATATTCATACCTTTTGAATTTTTGTTTCAATTTTCAATTTCCACCTAAACTACATGTGTGTTTAAGTGTGAAAAATTTGAATGGTATTGATAAAAACTTAGCATAATTGTAACTAATAACTATCTGTGAACATCCTGTCCAAATTTGGTGAAATTCTGATTCCGATTCCCAGAGATACATGTGATAAGGCTAGAGCTGTCCCTTTTGGAGAAGCCCTAATTTGACCTATTTTTGTTTTTTGGTAAGATTCATAAAAATCCCAAAAAAGTTATTTTGCAGTGAAATATTTTTATACAACAATCCATTTCATAAACTAGACATGTTCAAGTTATGAAAAAATATGGTTGTGCTTTGTTCTACCTCGGGTAGGGGTATCTCAAAAACTAAAGCCTTTTTTGGGGGTTTGTTCCTCTACTATAAAGGCATAAAAAGGTAACAGTTAAATTTGAGGCCAGATCAGACTCACAACAATTTTTAAATAATCAATTTAGTCATCAATGTCAACCAAAACTTAAATACTCATCCAAGTAACTTAACGTCCACTTGACAGGCTGAGCAGGCGAGCTAGTTCACCTTTTCTTGTTGTTTTTTAGCAGCAGTGTTTCGTCCGCCATCACAAGTAATATTTTGGTTTCTGTAAACGTATGTGAGTTTTAGCCAAAGTGAGTTCAGGGAGTTTGCTTGACACAGAGTTGAGTTTCTGGGTAAAATAAACAAAGTTTGAAACATTGGATCACTTAAAACTTTATCTTCTTCAAATCATAATCCTTGTTTATTCACCACCTCTCTGCTAACACTCATTGTCTCTGCCTATCTCTTTTTAAAGTGTTTTTAAACAAAACATACAGTATTTGTCTAAACCTGTCTGCACTTGTATACTGTGAACCTTGAATTATGTATGATGCTTGTATCACCACAAAAAGTTTTCTCCTATTACTAAGGATTAAAGGAGCAATATGTAACTCTGACACTAGAAGTTAAAATGAGTACTGCAGTTCAAATTCAAGCATTAGAGAGAGCTGTCTCCCCCACCCCCTCCTCTCTAGAGTCGATGCTGACGCAGGTTGCCATGTGGTGGACACTGAAGCTTCAGTGTTTAGCCAGCTCTGAGTCAGTCTGTAAACCTTTCTGTGTTCTAACCTCTCTCCATTTTTCAAAAGCATCTCCAATATTGATCCTAGTTTGAGCACGTTTCTGCTCGTGGAGCTTATTAGAAACATGCAGAGGCTTTTTAGGTCGGTACAATCACTTCTATCTGAACTAGTTCTCTTGCCCGCTTCCATCACTGCAACACCTGTTGGTTTGACCTGATAACTGGTCTCATATCTGGCGAACCTAGGGACATCCAAAACGGCCTATAGGGGTGCCTTTGAACCGCTTACCTTCTCTGGTCCAAACAAATCCAGAGCATTCAGGACCAGAATCTAAAGTTAGAAGGAGGACATACTGGCTGCTGCATTGTTGTCAGAGAAGCCAGCACTTCAACATAGCATGTTTCCTTAATGTGTGATCTTATAGTAAGCTCACTTTATCATTTAATTCAGTAGATATCTTACATGTTGCTCCTTTAAAATAGCAAAGTTCCCCTTTATTTTATGTTTATTACAAGAGGAGTCTACAAGCCTTGCGATGTTAAGAGCTATCCAAAAAGAATGACACTTGGTTTTGTAGGAGCTAGAATGCTAGCGTGCCGTTCCTTTGCATTTTTTTTTTTTGAGTTAGCATAGATAGAGAGCAATAGAGCCAAAGGCGGCCATTTTGTACTGAATTGTTGAATATTCCCTCATTAACATAGACCCAAAAGGGATAGCTGACCCAGGTGACTTTTGTGTTACTGATCAGCTGGAGCTTGGTTGATATAGGAGAGTGTTTAGCCTATTTTGACTGGGGTGGCCAAACTGGGGCTTTTGCAGGGATGGCATAAAGTATGTGCACAAACACCATGAATGAGTTTCATTTATACACCCTCACCATCTCCTCTTATAATATAATTTCAAGTAAGAAAGGGAAATGGATGATTCAGTATCACAAACACTGCTAGCTAGTTTATTGCAGTGCAAAGAAGTTTGCATGCAAAAATGTCATGAAGTAATTCTTACCACATTGACATTTAAAACAAACTACAAGCCTGTTGCAACCCAGCCACATTTTTTTTAGTTTTGAGTCTGCAAGGAAAATAGTCAATCATAGTATAGTAATTTGGAGTGGCATCTGCATTGACCTATCAGATTTCAAAGGGGGGCACAGGCCACACCTGGCTGCCCTTCTGGACATGCTTCTGTTGTTGAAACCACTGCTTGATTGTTTTAGTGTTCAACATACCGCAAACAGACTATAAAGAGCTCTCCTGACAAAACACAGAATTCAAAACCTAGAAACAGCTGAAGTTCATTTATTTTACCCTTTTAACATTTCCTGTTATGGGGTTTTTATAGAAAATATTCCGATGACTTCTTTTGCGTTTTGTATATTTTATTGCAAAAATTCTAAATGTGGGCCAGTCACAAAACTGCAAACATCTTAATGTGTATTTCATTTTCTGTATTATTGTTATTATTTTTTACCAGGACTCCATGCATGTAGTCCAAGAGGACTGAGGAGACAACAGCGTGTTGGTGTTCAGTGGATCAGAGTGTGTTCTTACCATGATGACTGCAGGTAGGACATCAGATCAGAGGAGGATTTTCCTTTATGATATTCTCATATTTATTGTGTCAAAAACCTATTAAAGACGTTTTCAAAAAAGAAATGAAAAGATTTAAAATAGTACAAAGCTGTAAAACGAGATACAAACAAGAAAAAAATGATAGAAACAAACAAAAAAAAGATATAAAATCAGTTAAAATGGTTATAAGCAGTAAAACAAGATAAAATAGCACTAAAATAGAGATAAAGGATTAAAAACAGATTGAAACAAATAAAAAGGGAAAAAAGCAGTGAAGTGAGATAAATCATTTACACATTTGAGAAAGGTTTAAAATAGTACAAAGCAGTAAAATCAGATTAAAAGTGATAGAAACAATAAAAAGGGTTTAGAGATAAAAAATGGATAAAAGCAGTTAAAAAATATCTGGAACTAATAAAAAGAGATAGAAGAAAACTTCAGGAGGTGAATTCATTTAGTTCCCACTTCCTCTCAAATATTAATGGAGTCTCTGATTACGCCTCTCTAATCAGAAAGTGCGAGTTCACAGTCACACACATGTATAAGAGATATGCATTTCCTGTTATTATTCTGCCGCCGCCTGTCACAACATAAACACACACACACACACACACACACACACACACACACACACACACACACACATGGTTGACCCTAAACTAATTTAATTTTTATTTTATTCAAACTTGCCCCAAAATGTTGTCATATGATGTCATCTTTGATCACATTTTCAAATAGATGGACACGCACGCACGCACACACACACACACATACACACACACACACATACACACATACACACACACACACACACACACACACACACACACACACACACACACAGAAACACACATGCACGTAAACACTCTCCAGCGCAAATCATGGGACTAATAATAGTTTCTCTCGCTGCGTCTCTTACTTCAAGGTCAAGGATTTCTGACCTGCTGATGGGACAAACAACTGTTAATTTAGTTGTTCAGTTGACTGAACTATAAAGTTTTAAACAATAAACTACAAAATCTTTGATATTTTCCATCTTAAATAAAAGAAACTAAGCTTCTTTTAAAGGGGACATATTAACAAATATGCACTTCTACAGTGTTTTTGAACATCTTTGAAACCCATCCAGTCCTTTGTTTGTGGTCTGCATAAGTCTTACAACACAGAGAAAAATGCTCCGTTTCAAATTTGCTCTACTTGTGACATCACAGTGGGATTCTGGTTAAAAAGTACCTCCCCTCCCCTGGTATCTTCACCCATGGATTCCACCTCCAGCCTAGAACAAAACTTTTATGCAGGTCCGCCATTTTTATTCTTGCTACAGAGGAGTGATGTCTACCGGGAAATCTCAGGGGGGGCTCATTGCATTTAAAGAGACACACACACCAAAACGGAGCGTCCTGAGAGAGCTGGTTTATACAGGGTCACAAACCTCCTCTGGTGCTTGATTCATGTTGTATTTTGACCAAAGCACAGCACAGATGTTTAATTTAGACCACAGGGGACTGTTTGAAAAGGTGGAAAAGGGGGATAATATGTCCTCTTTAAATTTTCATCAAAAGTTGAAAATGATGACAAACTCTGTTCCTCGCTTTCTTTTTATAGTTAACCCACAAATACTGTAACATGCACTCACACAAACACACACACACTTTCATCAGGAAAACACAATTTCGCAAACTAAATTATCACTCGTATGCTGACGCACTCGTGCTGACACTTACTGACTCACTCTCACACTTTTTTTTCTCCTTTTTTCCTCTTTCTCTCGCTTTACTGTCTCACAAACACACACACACACACACACACACACACACGCACACACACACACACACACACACACACACACACACACACACACACACACACACACACACACACACACACACACACACATGGTTGACTCTAAACTAATTTAATTTTTATTTTATTCAAACTTGCCCCAAAATGTTGTCATATGGTGTCATCTCTGATCACATTTTCAAATAGATGGACACGCACGCGCGCACGCACGCACACACACACACACACACACACACACACATACACACACACACACACTTTAATTTCCATTTTTTCTGTATCACTAACTTGAAAAAAAAAATTCTTCCCAACTTTTTTCATCTTTTCCTTTTTTCTCTATTTCTAAAAAAAACTTGACAAAGCCCGACAGAGGAGATTCAAAGTGATCCACATGAAGAAAAAACTTCTGCATTTCAGTTTGTGATACTCAGAACATACTGCTCAGTCCTCACTCTGAGAAACAGGTGACATTGTCCAATTTGACAGAAAGAAACATTAAGCCATGCTGTCTGACGCATGCACACAAATCAAAGATAAAAACATGCAGAAAAAAAACTTTACCTTTCACATTTCTACCAGTTGAAGCACTCATGCGGATGTTTTAAAAATAATCACAGAGAACAGATTCATGTTTCTCTTGTCTAAAAGAAAGTTCCCGTTGTAAATGCCCTCGATTCATTTGTGACATTCAGTGAAAATACATCAAACTGCCTTGACTGCACAATCTTGAAGGTATTTTTTCAAATAAGTTAAAATGAAAAATACAAATCATATCGTTTAAATGCACACATTATTTCTGTCCTTCCTCCAGTCTTTGCATTCAATCTGATCCCGTCTTCAATCCCGTCCGGCTCTAAGAGAAACTTTTGCTCAAACGTTGAACAAAGTCAAACATCTCAAACTCCGTCTTCGTTCTCTTCCTCTCTTATGATGAAATGACTTCCTGACCTTCGGCCCTCTCTGTCTTTTTCCCCTGCTCCTGTTTTTTTTTTTTTTTTAGTGACCATGAGTTGAAAAACGGGTACGGTTAATGGACTATAGCGTGTGCATGTGTGTGTTTGTGTGGTTGTGTGTTTTTGAATGACACACACAGCATGCACTTAGGCCCCTTGAACAGGTCTTGATGAGTGTTGTTTGTTTCCTGGAAGATGTTTCCAGATGTTTTTTTCTTTCATTGTCAGTGGAGGGGGAAACGTTCGGTTAAGCTGTAAACAACAGTTTCCTGTGACTAGCTTTATCTGAGACACCTTCAGAATACACTTTGATTGTTGGAGTTCAAAGTATTTAAACATGTCACTAAAATGTAAATTATTGAAATGATCTCTTTTCTGATTTTTCTAGAATTTTCCCTTAGTTGTATTCAAAAGGTTTTTATCATTTTTCTGGCTCTAACGGAAGCGGTGACCTCATCGTTGAAAAGTGAAGCCAATGCAGAAGTATAAAAACCTGCAGTTCCTCCAGTGTCCACTTGAGGCTGGCTCCAAAAGCCCTGGAAGTCACATACACACCCCATAATAAAATGGACGTTTTCACAGCAGGAATAAACATGTTTACAGCCTGGTTCAAAAACAAATGTGGTCTGATTAGCTCTCGTCTTTATTGACACACACTGGACCAGGAGGGAATTTAGTAATTACTCCTCTGTTTTGATTTGTTTGAAGGCTTAAGGCCCGCCTCAGCTCCAGCTCTTTGCCTGTCAACCCGGAAGGTTGGGGGTTTGATCCCCAGCTCCTGCAGCAACACTTCCGATGTGCTCTTGGGCAAGACCCTGAAACTCTAGTTGCTCCTGCTGCTTCGTCGGCGGTGTATGAATGGGTATGAATGGGATTAGTTATTACTGATGGACTCTTTACACAGCAGCCTCTTCCATCAGGGTGTGAATGTGTAGGTGTGACCTGCAGCGTAAATGTGCTTTGAGAAGTCAGAAGACTCAAGTCCATTTACCATTTACTTCCCTAAATCCTACATGTAAACTGCAGATATTTTCAAACACAGATAAATGATACCTAAACATGTCAAATTAGAATCTTTTAAAAAAAAAAATTTTTCCTCTCAGGTTTTTGTCCGATTGTCCTTCAAGCTTCTGGTCAGCCATTTTGTTTGTGAGCACTCATTGGGTTTGCATGAGAGAGATTCTGCTGAGTTTAGCTGGTTAAAAAAAACAACAACCTGTAGCGTCATCAGTGTTAGGGAGTTAAAAAAAAAAAGAAAAGCTTCCCTTTCATTCACAGTGCAGCCTCCTCCTCTCTGACAGAAAATGGCTGACTGCACAGCCTAGCAGCTTCTCACAAGCAGAAAAAAAAACTCCCAGAATAAATCAAATCAACTAAAACTGATGATGGGTCAGACAAATGTCAAGTCCTTTTTCATGTTATAGAAACAGACTTCATGAAGAGGATACATCTTCCGCAAGGAATATGCAGCTTTGCATTTGTACAATTTGTTTTCAGTTTCTTCTCGTTGCATCTAAAATGAAAACATTTCACACATGAACATTTAAAATCACGTGTGCACTGCAAAAAGTCAAATATTAGCAGTAGTATATTCGTCTACTTTCTGGTAAAACATATCTCATTCATCACATTTATTTTAAGCCACACTCCACCTTTCCTTTTTCATATATAAGCAGAGTTTTTTTTAACACATATATGTAGGCTGTAGGTGTGATTTTGTACGCTCTGTGTCAGTTTGTATTCGGTTTTGGGATGTGATTTTCAAGCCTTGAGCGTATTTCTACAATAACCATCCTGCAAAAACTCAAATCTAAGCAAGTGTTTGTTTTATTTTTGGTCAAAAATATTTCATTACACTCAATATAATCAACACTCACCTGACAAGTCCAGTTAAACATCTTACTTCAAGATTTATAAAGCAAAAAAAAAAAAAGGCTTGAATTGCTAGTTATGAGTAAAAGAAAAAAAAATCTGTCAATGGGAGCTCATCAGTGTCCTAACATGAGACAATCTAAATAAGTTAGCATGTCTCATTTCAAGACTCTCAACAAGTTGTGTCGGGTAATGTTGGGTAATACAAGGTGAGCTGTAGTATGGACAAATTATAGATATAAAATACACACACACACGCACACACACACACACACGCACACACACACACACACACACACACACACACACACACACACACTCACACTCAACATTGCTGTCTGTGTGGTTGAAATAAATCTTTCTGATCACATTTTATCCCTCACATACTGACACAAAAAATTAAATACATCATTATTGTTTTTATTGACAGACTCAGAGGACCATTAAAAAAAATGTAAAAACAAACAAACAAACAAAACATCACCAATATGATCACAGACAGCTAAACCAGTGTCTGCACTGGGAGGACTGGTATCACTAGGATTCATCAGCATTAATATACAGTAAGAGAGTACAATAAGAGATTCATTAAAATTAAGTTTTTTAAGAAGATTTTGACATACAGTAAAATGAGGAGATTCAGCGCACACAGGAAGGATAAATGACCTCTTCTTTTTATTTATGTAAAAACATCTTCAAACAAACATTTCAGCCGTGCGGCTTCATCGGGTTTGTCACAAAACAAGAGTGTAATTATAAAAAAAAAAGAAAAGAAGAAATTCAGCCTTCTTTGTATGGCAGTGAATTTTCTCTTTTTCTGTTAAGATGATGTTTCCTTGTTGCACCACAATAAAAGGAATGACAGAGCTGTACACAGGGCGTCCATGTTTGTACGTTTTAATGTCAGAATTACATTTATTGGTCAATACTTTATTAATCCTCTGCAGGAAATGACTCTGTTACAGCAGCAACAATCACAAGTCAAGACCCCACGTAAAACATCACACATAAAAACAATAAAAACAGGACTTCACATTTAGCAAAATATGATTTTATAGCAGACTAAAAATGCAGAAACTACACATAAATTGTTTTTTTGTTTTATTTTTACCTGAGTAGAGGTGTGGAGGACTAAGTTTTGGTGCCAGGAAAGAGAAAGACGAGAGAGTAAAGGAAGACAGGAGGACAACGAAATCAAGCACAAATAAAAAATAACCAACATGATTAAGAGACATAAAAACATTAAATTTGTGTGTGTGTGTGTGTGTGTGTGTGTGTGTGTGTGTGTGTGTGTGCGTGCGTGTGTGTGTGCGTGTGTGTGCGTGTGTGTGCGTGTGTGTGCGTGTGTGTGCGTGTGTGTATGTTTGAGTGTGTGTGTGTAGTATGTCTCAACAACTGAGTGAAAAAGTGAATCTCCCCTCGAGAAATTACAAATATCTTCTTAGAAAAGCAAAAATCTGGAAATTGACCTGAGTTTTTTGTGTGTAAGAATGAAAGAAATAGCCTCATGGTGAGTCTTTAAGTTAAAGAACAGTGGGTTGGATTAACATTTTTATTATCTCTTTAAATTCTATTTAACTTAACGTGTGTGTGTGTGTGTGTGTGTGTGTGTGTGTGTGTGTGTGTGTGTGTGTGTGTGTAAAAGGACACACTGTGTGTAAATATCGGATGAAGATAAAATTTAACTGTCAGATTAATCCTGCTTAAATCCTGAACTATTTTTTCTGTTCTTCATATCACTGCCTGGTGTAGGCACGGTTTAATTTGAGTCTGAATATATATTTGATGTGTTTGGGAGAAATTAAAAAAAACAAAACAAATTAAGTTACACATGTAGTTTTATGTGTGATTATGATGATACATCCTGCTTGTGTTGCTACCTCACTTCATTTTCTTGTTTGTCTGCACGTTAAACAGTCTGTACTTATCACATACATTGTGATGTGTTCTCATACATTTACACGTCTGTGACAGTTCCAGTGTGTGTCCGTGTGTGAGTGTGTGTGTTTATCACCAAAATTGCAGCACATGCAGAAGGAGTTGTTAGCGGTCTGTCCTTTTTGGCCGGAGGAGTCGAACAAAACGGGACCCCAACAGTTTGTGTCCCACCCAAGCAGAAGCCGCCGCCCCTGATACCTGCACACACACCGGCTGTTTATCTCTTCATTACATTATACCTGCATACATGTGTTCAATACTTTCTCCAGGGATATGTCTCACTACTTCTTCATGTGTTTTTCACCACCATGAAACAGACCAGGTTGTTAGTGGAGCCACGCTGAGTGTTATTGTGCATGCCTCTTTGAAAGTGTATGTTCTACACTTTTTTTACACACATTTGTCTTTTTTTTTGTATCTATAGAACCACAAAGGAAAGAAAAGGGGAAACTAGCCGATGAAGCGGAGAATAACAACAAAGGCTGAGAGGAGTAGGAGGAGGGTGGAGAGAGAAAGAGAAAGCTTGGAATCAACCGACGCCTTTTTATTCAAGTTGCACGAGTCCCGACACTCCTGAAAGTCAGGCCGTTTTTTTGTGGGACACACCCACCCCCCTTTTGTCCTCAGAGCCAGAGAGAGAGAGAGCGAGAGAGAGAGAGAGCGAGAGAGAGAGACGTCGAATCCCAGACTGGGAAGGTAAATGGGTGTGACTTTGGATTGCTTGAGTATAAATGGGATTTATTCCAATTGAAAATAAACAAAAAGGTGCAGAAAAAGTCTGAAATTTTATCTGTAAAATCAAAAAGCAAGAGTCGACATTCAAAGAAGGACAGAGACAGAAGCTTTGACAGATAAAAGGTAGAGCAGATTTATTTTAAGTTGAGGGGTTTGCCCTGAATGCATCTGTCCAGAAATATGAAAAAACAACTCAAACTCTGCATTTAATTTTACCCAAGTCAAAGGGGGAAATAAAAGAGGAGCAGAAAAGGTGGAGCACAGAAGAGGGAAAACTTGGTCAAGTATCAACAAGCCACAAATCAATTATCTCAGCTGTTAGGAAAAATGTCCTGAAACTTTTAACCCCGCATGAGCTGAAGAGGTCAAAAAAATCTCCAGCAACACTCGTAGTATGAAGATCAATTTTATGAACTTTATTAGACCGAAGCGTTTCAGTCTTCATCAGGGTCATCAAGAAACACACTGCAAGCGTCAATTAAAAAAGGGAAGTTTATAAATGAGAAAAAAAAAAAGTGAAAAACGATCACAAGCCGAAACATGTTATGTGTCTGTCACATAACATCACAACAGTTCAGGAGTCTCGGTGCAAACAGCACACCTGGTGTTACACTTTATGACATTTCTTGCAGCTGTATTTAAAAACATCTTGAACTGGAATGCATCTGTTGCATTAAAAAAAACAAAAAGTTTACACGTGCTCATTGAAATGTTCAGACTGAGAAACAACACAATCCCTCATTTCACTGGAAGACACAAAGTGCTCCAGAGTGCAATAGAAATAAGTAGAAATGAAAACACACTATACGCCCAGCTCCAGTTAGGAAATTGGATTACCTGCTTCAATAGAGAAAGATATTTATAAACTGTCTATTTTAAAACGCATACTGTTATTTCAATCAGAGAGGACATTGGTTCTATGTGAACGACGTTCCTTTCTTTTTTTATGATGAACTTTTTATTGAATTGTTCACATACGATCTTTACTTAGCTGAAAAGGGACCAAACATCAAATGATTCACACATGGTCATAGCCTCGATGCAGAAAATACAAAATGTCAAACTTCATGTAAAAGCCAATCCCATGTAGAGGCCCAGGCCTTTTTACTTGCCCGGTGTTGACGCACATTTTGACTAATAAATCCAGGTTTCAATTAGACGCCCCTTTTGCATTTCGATTAGTTTGGGGATCAAAAATATGATAACAAGGGTTTCTCTCAGTCCACCTGAGACATTCAAACCTCAGTGAGTGACCGGAGAGAGAGACAGGGAGGACTCTGCTGCTTGTGCTGCCTTAAGAGATGGAAATAAATTGTAGAGTAAATGTTAAATTCCTTTTTCATGCAACTTTTTAACCCTTTAAAATCTGCTTTAAACAACTAAAGACATTCTGATATGTTTACAGCTCCAAAGAGCAGTACAGCAGTCGTTAGTGGTCATACTATCAGGGTCTCTCCCTCTCTAAAAATCCTTATTCTGCACTCAGTTAAATATTATTTCTGGTGTAACTTTACTATATTATAATCTTTTCCAACTTTGATGTGCACACGTTTTGATTGAAAATAATGAAGATAAGATAAACTTTAATGGGGGAAATGTGGTTGTTATGACAGCTCAAAAAAAGAGGAGTACAATCAGCACAAAAAAGCAAAAGGTTCAAAATAAACATATTTACAGAAACCAAAGATAAGAAGAAAACTATGGTAGTAATAAAATAGTACTGGAAATATATACACTATATGTAAACTTTCACTTTCAACAAAGACAGAAGAGTTATTATTATAAACTCACAGTGTGAAGCATGTTGATTAAGATGAATATTTTGATTCAGTCCGGTGAAGGCCCGTCTCTTATCAGAATCAGAATGAGAATCGGGTTTTATTGCCAAGTACATTTACCCATACAAGGAATTTGACTTGGTGTATTGGTGCTAAACACTTAACAAGGAAATAAAGCAGAACTAGCAACAACTTAAATAATAAAGTATAAGAAGCAATTACAATATATAAAAGATAATTTTAAAATGTAAAATATAAAAAATTAGAACCAAACTGTACAAAAGGTGCAATGTTTGAGCTGTGTAGAGGACTATGAGAAAAAATCTTACTGTATATGTAACCTACTCACAGAGTGCATGCAGAGAAAATAAATGTAATGTCCAGTGGGCTTTTATAAACGCCTGTCCCAAATAAAGGCAGCGTCATTTCATACATTATAAAAGCACAGGCTATTCATCCAAGTTTTACAATTTTAGGCAACATTTAAGAAAAAGTTAAATATAAATAAAGTTGAAAATATGAAGAAAATAGGAGCGCTTCTGGTATCCCTCAAAGCAACATGGAAGGAAAGACAAAAAGTGACTCACTGCACCCTGATGAAGGCGCAAGCTGATACGAGTTGGTGTATTTAATGTTTCTAGCCCAATGAATTAAAACCTTTTATATTTTTCTAACCGTCCTGAGAGTGTAGACCTGGATTATTTAATTGTTTTGGTCTTACATTTTCCTCAACCTTTTTAAAATGTTGAAAATATGTAAAAAAAACGGACTCCTGAGTCTGTCATAAAGTTGATGATGAAAACAGACACACAAACTCCCCTCCATGAAATGAAATAAAAAGGAATAAGAGAACCTCTTTACACGGTCATGTGTAGGTTTTACTTTCTGTCAAAAGTACAGATTAAATCTGATCAAGAAAAAGTAAATTCAAGAGTAGAAATAAAAAGAAACTCACAGTTGATGCCTGCGTCTTCTGATTTACAGCCAATTATCTTTTCTACAAGAGAGATTTCTCTAAAGCAGTTTAACTTTTCTTTAATCAACAGAGGTCTATAGACGCCTCTCTGAAGAAAGTCCTTACCTTGTTTCAGTAACATTTGTTGTTATGTAGTTTGCAGTGTGGTTTGTTAATTTGCAAATGTTCTGTTTGTGCTCTGTATCATCATCATCTTCATGGCTTGAATCAGGTATATGAGGGAGGAGATATGTCCGCTCAAATAACAATTATTTTTTTTTAAATCATCACGATTATGTTTGGACCAGAGTGCTTGGTGATTTTCTTCCTCAGTCTATTGTTTTTACACTTCCCTGCATTTACATGATATGCATATAACAACCTCCTTTTTTCTTGAGTCAGGTAAATATAAAATGGAATTAAACAAATAAACTTCTAGTATTTAAAATGTTTCTGGATCCAGATAATTCTTTCCGCTAAATGCGATGGTGCTTAATCTTTAAAAATCTAAATATTTCTCAGTCAGAGGAGTGTGAAACAATCAGAGGACAATAAAGGGCCTCCATCTCGCTGCTGAAATGTGGAACAATGTTGCATCCTAAATATAAGATCTGTAGTCTGTACACCTGTCCATTTACACCTCTGTGACGGGAGTGTGCCGTAGAAACAAACAGGAGGAAACAGAAAAATGTAAATATGGGCGGGCGGGGTAAATCCTCACCCCAGAGTATTCTTTATTTCATCCTACATTTTGATTCATTTCTTTTTACCAGAGTGTCTCTGATTTTGGGGTTTGTGATGCTTGGACCTCATTTGAAATCTTGTGGATTAATCCTGATGATTGTGTTATCTCAGATGCCAGTTTATCAAACACCTGAAACTAAGATGCTGCAGTCATGTCTACAGCAGAGTCTTAATGTTCAGTTTTTGTTCTAACTGTTTAAGAGACGTGTGCAGGTTTCAGATTCTTACACTGATTGAACTTTCTGTAAATCATTTCAGTGTCTGTAGTTCTTGATGCTGAGTAGAGGGCAGCGAGGCGCCCTACTTTAGACTCTTTTGGTTTCACAAACAGTCGCCAGCCCACAGCTGACCCCCTGCCCCTTCCTACCAGCAACGCAGCAGCTCGGCCCGTGCTTCAACAGCAGTACAGCAGATGACGTTAGGAGGATCGAAGCTAGAACGTTATCCCTAAATAATCCTGTGTGTGTATGTGTGTGTGTTCACTGTAACTAGCGTGCACTATGGCCTGATAGTTTGCACTGGGGCCTGTCGTGACCATCTTAGGCCACTGACACACACACATACAAACACACAATAACTATTCGTATGATTTGAAGAACAGATAGGTTTTGAGTTTAGCTTTAAAAGTAGAGACCGTCAGCAGGAAGTTTGTTCCAGAGAGAAAGACCACAGTAACTAAAGACCCCCTCTCTGGACTTTGATCTAATTTTTGGTACAAATAGAAAAGAAAATACCTTATATGCAAAATGTTTGCCATTCAAACACCAGGAACAGTTGTCTCAACCCAGGCTCAGTGAGCTGGACAAACAGGGAGACCACGCAGCAGCAAAGTATCCCAATCATAGAATATTCAGTCTGTAAATCAGAGGTGATTGTAATTGTGAATGTGTGTGGTGTTACTGAGGCAAAACAAAGACCACAAATCAAAGTTGGTGATGACAAAAGAGAAAGATTTGAGACTGAGAATACCAAGGCCCAGTCTGCCCAGGTGCATGAAATCAAATAAACCGGCTCCGCACCTTTACTACCTGAAGGCAACCTAAATGGGGAGAGATACAAGGCAGCGCAGCGTTTTATACAAGGCGACATATAGAGCAGTGGTTCTCAACAGGTGGGTCGAGACCCAAAAGTGGGTCGCAGAGCCACTTCCAGTGGGCAGTGAAATACCTGTGGGTGGAAATGTGTCCAAAGTCTATGAAGCTTTTTTCCAACATGTTCGTTTTGTTTCTTTGTTCCATCTGCACAAATTTTTCACATTGTAAATCTGGTAAGCTGGACAAAAATCAGTGATTTGGATCGCAATTCTTCCATGTACTGTGGGAGCTGGTGGTGGGTCCTGCGGCTAGACCAGTTGAGAACCACTTAAAAAACACAGTCGAGCTACATCAAAGGAGAGCACCAGGTTATTCATTATGAACATTGGCGAGGTGTTAAATGATAATAAATTTAAGGTTTAAGAGCTTTGTGCAGTATGAGGTAACAAGTGAAAGGTGTTTCTAATAACTGACCCTCGATGACATAAACAGGACGGACAAAATAATAGCACCAGCTATAAGCTACATCTCCATGACCAAAATGATAAGAAATTAAAATCTCTAAACAACAACAACACTCAACATTTTTACCTCCTTTAGAGCAGAAATGTTGCATGTTTGTTGTTGTAGTTTGCATTTCCCAGCGTGATAAACGGTCAGCTGAGTTTATGTTTTTGAACACTTTTAATTGAGATTATTTTGAAGGTAGAGAAACTCAAATTTCCAGCGTCTCCTTGTCAGCGTCCACAGGATTCAATCCATCAGAAATCACACAGATTGTCTGTCAGAATGTACACTCTACACGGGCTGGTTAGCAGGATCTGCAGAGTGATACCTTTAAAGCTGGTTTACTAAAATCTATCCCACCTTCATTATATTTTACACTACAGAGCAGGGGTCATCAGCTACGTTTCTACAAGGGACAGCTATTTTCTTGGCAGATATGAATATGTTTGCACATGAGCCTGACAGCTGTCAAGCCCGATGTGAAGAAGTTGGAGTCACCTAACGCGAGTATTTCAGCCTTGGGATTGTATTTTTTATGTTTATTGTTTAATCACCCCAAATGATTTATATTCTGGGGGCCGGATGTGAGCCAGTTGATGATCACTGCTATAGAGGAAATAATTCAGTGATCATTTAAAGGGAGCAGGTGATGTGTGAGCCATAACTTTTGAAAACCTGACCCCCACAGTTCAGCGGTCCTGAAGAGAGAGAGTGTGTGTGTTTTTTGTGTTTTTTTTTTACAGTTCTAGTGTGTGTGTTTGCTGACTTGCATGCCACTGAAAGCATCATTTAAAAAAATCTGCAAAGTGAAAGCAGCGAGCGGAGGTGACACAGCGTAACGACGACACACACTCCTGCCTAACTGAGGCTGCACAGGCTCCTATAAATCAAATAAAACACTGCACAACATTTTATAAAGTTTATATTTGCAACGGTTTTTCTTAAAAATGTTGAACGGGCGCAGTGACTAAGTTTTAACAACATTATTTATACTTCAGTTTCATTTATTTGTCCTCTTAGTAGTGGTGGGTGTTGTTCTGATTACAACGGGCATGTTTTAGAAATCAGAAATTAGAAATACTTTATTAATCCTGGGAGGGGGGGATACAAATATAAGTAGAATATAATATATATAATATAATAAAAGTAGAATAAGCAGAAATACGCACCAAACTGCACTTCCATCAGGAGAGAGAGCCACAAATTGTTTTTAGAAAAAAGTAATTTGTCCCAAATGCAATTGAATTAAAGGAAAAACCTAAAACACCTTTTATTTATTTTTATTGAACCTTTATTAAACTGGGTAATTAACCCATTGAGATCAAAGTCTCTTTCACAGGGGCGACCTGGCCAAGAGGGCAGCAGCACCCGTCATAATAAATATGACATGATTCAGAGACAATTCACAACAATAAGTTCAGAGAAAAAAAATGATTACAACGTGCAAATTGGTTTGCAGATAAAGTGCAGAGTCTTGAAGACAGATTACAGTTCAGGAACACGTCAGGCACTGTCCAATGGTCTCGCATATTTTGTCTTTAAGATGGAGCCAAAGGCTTAAAGTGAAATGAGATCTGCCTGTTTCAAGTCAATCTGGAGAAAGTTCCTGCAGAGGGGGCAGCAAAACTAAACGCTCTCTCTCCGAGCCAATCTAAAAGCCCCCCACCTTTTTAGTGCACTCTGGTTTTTTTAAACCTATAGATTTACTAAACTTATTGAACTAAATAATTTGAAACATACAAACCATGTTGACTGTGTTGTTGTCGAGCACTACAGGCGCTCTTCTGGTTTCTCGCTGTGTTTGAATGTTGTCTTGTTTGTCATCATGTCATCATGTTCTTGTGAAGCCAAAGACAATTTTGCACATTGTGGGAAAAATAAATTTCTATTATATCCTATTATATACCAAAGCACAGAGTATCTGAAGAATGATACACTATGTTAAAGCACAGGGAGTTTGAATATATAATCAATATTTACAAATATACACATGCAGGGTTGAACTGTGTAGATAATGCACACAAGGCTCAGTGAAGAAGGCAATGTTATCCAGCATGTGTTGGTATTGCACATGGGTGACTGAGGCTCTGTGTGTGTGTGTGTGTGTGTGTGTGTGTGTGTGTGTGTGTTTGATTAAGGCACCAATATGAATGTAGCAAGAAGTTACAATTTAAGAAAGATGACGTTAAATTGTTGTAAATTTTAAAATCCTTAAAATACGTCAGAAAAAAGTCACACATGCTTTCACAAACTCACAGAAGTCCGACACACACACACACACACGCACACACACGCACACACACACACACACACACACACACACACTTTTAACTTCTGGATCTTTGTGTTTATTCATCATCCTCAAACGATAAAATGTAGACTAATTTTCAAGAGATACAATAACACAATGAGACAGGTATTTAGGTATTTCTATTCAGATATATTCTTTGAATTCAAGGGGTGTGTGTGAGTGTGTGTGTGTTAGTGTGTGTAAATCAGCACTTTGTCTGGTGTGACTTCTGACGTCTAAAACCAAGACAAAGTGTAACATCTAAATCTCTGTTCTTATTTAATGTGACCTCTGAGCGCAAATTCATATATAATCAGAACATTTAAACGTTTCTCATGTTAAGTTTAGAATGACCCTGAATATTAAATTAAAAACTGATTTCAATGTTTATTCAAAGAAGGATTTAAAAAGCAGAAGATAGAGCGATAGATAAACCGTATTGTCTGTCCTAACAATGAAAGAAATTCTCCTTGAAGTGTCAAACAATAAACACATTTAAAAAACACAACACAAAGTACAAGCAATAAAAAAAACAGCTGCTAAGAAGGGGTCTTTTTGATTTTGTTCAGGGTGGTTAGGACAGAGGGAACGAAGGAATTGTTTTTTACCCAGAGGGACTTTGTAGCGTCTGTCTGATGGCAGTAACTGGAAGGAGGGGTGGAGGGGGTGAGAGGGGTCTTCTGTGATCAGGGTGGAGGGGGTGAGAGGGGTCCCTCTGTGATCAGGGTGGAGGGAGTGAGAGAAGTCTTCTGTGATCAGGGTGGAGGGAGTGAGAGAAGTCTTCTGTGATCAGGGTGGAGGGAGTGAGAGGGGCCCTCTGTGATCAGGGTGGAGGGAGTGAGAGGGGTCCCTCTGTGATCAGGGTGGAGGGAGTGAGAGAAGTCTTCTGTGATCAGGGTGGAGGGAGTGAGAGAAGTCTTCTGTGATCAGGGTGGAGGGAGTGAGAGAAGTCTTCTGTGATCAGGGTGGAGGGAGTGAGAGAAGTCTTCTGTGATCAGGGTGGAGGGAGTGAGAGAAGTCTTCTGTGATCAGGGTGGCTCTCCTGATTGAAGAGCGGCTATACAGTTCAGAGTTTGTTTAATTTTTGAGATGATGACGGATGAATTTACTGTTTAAATGTTTTGTGTTGACTTGTTTAGACTTGATGCAGAGCTGATGGAAGTCGGAGTGTTACATGTACAGTACATGTGTCAGTGTGTGTGTCTGCGTCATTATGTGTCTGTGTCAGTGTGTGTGTGTCAGTGTCAGTGTGTGTGTGTGTGTGTGTGTCTGTGTGTGTCTGTTTCAGTGTGGGTATGCGTCAGTGTGTCTGTGTGTGTCTGTGTGTGACTGCGTCAGTGTCTGTGTGTGTCTGCATCAGTGTGCGTCAGTGTCAGTGTGTGTCTGTGTGTGTCTGCGTCAGTGTGTCTGTGAATCAGTGTGTGAGAGAATTTGCGTAGATGTTCGTCCACATCTGTATGTCTCCATAGTTTTATAGTTTTAAAGTCTGTGTTTAAAATGTTCAAGAAGAAACACAAATATTTAGCTAATATGGATAGTTAAGATGTGTGTGTGTGTGTGTGTGTGTGTGCGTGTCTGTATGACTGTGTTTGTGTGTTGATGTTGTCGTGTTGGTTTAACAGTTTTGCATATCTTGATTCCGTTGTGATCATTTTGAACATGATGTCGAGACATTGATCAGACTGAGACACGTGAAGAAGCGTTAAATGAGAGTTTTTGAGCTTAGCTGTGTGTGTGTGCGCGCGCACACGTGTATATGCGTGTGTGTAAACATGCATCTGAATTCCTTTAAAAAATGTGAACACAATGTCGAGACATTAATCAGACCATATAGGCAATTTGAAAGTGTTTGAGCTTCTGTTATTGTTGCTTTCTGCATGCTGTGTGTGTGTGTGTGTGTGTGTGTGTGTGTGTGTGTGTGTGTGTGTGTGTGTGTGTGTGTGTGTGTGTGTGTGTGTGTGTGTGTGTGTGTGCGCGCTGGTCTTCCTGCTTCTAAACCACACAGAGGAGTGTGTGTTTTTCTTTCTCTGTGTTTTTTTTTTAATTCAGTCGTTGTGTAAGTGTGTGTTATTAAAAGGAAATCTACTGTATAGTTCTGCTTGTTTTTAAAGAAAACTATTTTTTTCTTGCAGGATCAAAAAGGACAATGTGAGAGTGGGCAACACGGGAAGCTGCAATAAAAAAACACACACTCTCTCTCTCTCTCTCACACACACACACACACACACACACACACACACACACACACACACACACTCACACACTCACAGGTGAGTTGTATGTTTCCTTTGAAATATTCTACAAAAACAAATCACAGCTACAAAAAAAAAACATAAATAGTGTGCAAAGTGTCAAATGCATGAAAACAGAAATTCCACTTCTGATGTTTGCAATAATTACTGACTGATAAACTGTAAAAATATTATATAAAATAATTTAAGTTAGTCAGAGTTTAAAGAGATGAGACAAACTTTAATCAGACCCGTTCTTTAAGTTAAAGACTCACCATGAGTCTATTTCTTTCATTCTTACACACACAAAACTCAGGTCAATTTGCATTTTTTTTGTTTTTATAAGAAGATATTTATAATCTCTCGAGGGGAGGTTCAGACATGCTAAACATGCCTGTGCGCGCGCACACACACACACACACACACACACACACACACACACACACACACACACACACACACACACACACACACACAGACACTGAAATACACATATGAAGAAGCCATGGAGTGAAATTTAGAGATGCTTTAGTCTTTGCATGAATTTATGGGCTGAGATGTTTGAAATAAAAATCAAAATATTTAAGCCTGGATCACTTAGACATCTGGTATTTAATGTTAAATCTTGTTTATTTTTGTCAGTCATCTTTCAAACCATACAGACGTGAATCTATCTGTAAAAAGCTTTTAAATGAAAGTCATTTGCCTCTTTTTTTCCTGATTTTGAAATGAAGCTACTTTCGTGTCTGTGCCCTCAGACGCAGCTGCTGTGGCGTCCCAGTGCACGTGGGACGAAACAGAGGTGATACAACCGAAGGTGTGTATACAAATATAATATAATTATTAACTATATTGTGAACTGTTGGAAGTGGTGCTGTTGAGAGGATGCACTGGACCTGCGTCGTTTGTCAGATATCTTGAAGGCTCAGAAATAAGACTAGCTGGGTAGAAATTTGTGGAAGGAGCTGCCAGAAAGTAAGCTTTGAGTGGGGTCTCCTCGGCGGTTCAATACAACGTAGTTAAGCAGTTTTTCCAGCTTTACGGTGTAGCCTATTAGAGCGACGTGTTGTCGTCCCAGGTCTTCACATGAAGAAGCTTTTTGCAGTGGCGAAAAGGGGAAACTTGCTCTTGTTGTGTGTTGCTGCTGTAGAAAAAAAGTGATCGTCTGTCCTGATATAAGCATGCTGTGCTACAGACGGAAATAATGGATATAAGCGGATAAAAGTGTTGAAAACAAGACCAAAAGTTTTCATCGTCGTGTGTAAAGGACAGGGCAAGTGTGCGTGTGTATGTATGTGGGTGTAGCTCGTATAGCTGTGGGAAAAGCTGTGGAGGTTTCGTTTTTTTAAAGTCTTCATGGGAGACTTTAAGGGGGTTTCTTTGTGTCGCCGTCCACTCTTGTGGTACTGAAATGCGCGTTTCAGCACTACGGAGGTGGACAGCGACACACGCAGAAAACACGTGTGTGTGTGTTTGAACTGCACATTTCCAGCAAAGCATTACCAGTTTAAATGTGATGTTATTTCCTTAAACACTAAGGTTTAATGCAATGATCCCACACTGCACATTTATATTTATATATATGTCTCATGTTGTAGAGAAGTGCCATTCCTGCATATATATTATATTATATTATATTTATATTTTGTCAGCCCAGAGAAAAGGGTGCCAAAGGCGACCTTGTTGTGATTCTTTCTTCTACTTTATTTTGGTTTTGCTCACGTAAAAACTCTTACTTAGGTTAAAAAATACACCAGTGGTCGGGGCAGATTAAATGACATATTTCAGTGTGTAATGAACGATCGTTTCAATGTGTGTGTGACGAGAAAACAGGCCACGTGTTGACTTTGATAAGGTCGAACGAAGAGTGTGTGTGTGTTTGCTTAGAGGAGGGGGCAGAAACTGATGTTTGGTGTTGCAGAATTTAGGGGAGGTGGAGTGTGTGTGTGTGTGTGTGTGTGTGTGTGTGTGTGTGTGTGTGTGTGTGTGTGTGCTCAGGGATATCGCTACTGGGAGGAGTAAACAAACTTTTTGTGTAATCAAAACACTCGTGTGAAAAAAGGAAAATACAGAGGTGTACTTTTTTGGGGCACATGTTGCAAAAGCTGAAACATAAAGATTGAAATTAATTTATTTTATAACCATTTTTAGAGGCGGAACATGAGCTGAAATTGTAGCATCTTCGATCACTTTCTCTGCATGTTTAAATTTAAAAAAGGAAAACACAAGTAGGGATTTTGTAAGAGATTTGTGCTCGACTAAATCAAATTTTGTTTTTCTGTTTTCAGCTTTTTGGCTGCGAGGACAAACCCGAGACGTGAAGGTGACTCTCAAAAACGTCCGATATGAATGTGTACATGTGTTTATATTTGAGGTTATATTTTTAAACACACTGTGGGACCAAAACAAAAATAATGTCACATCAATTGCGGTCTTACTCTTCACTCAACAGCTGTGTGTGAGAATGTGTGTGTCAGTGTGTGCTGTTTTAATATATTTGTTTGCATATATTTGTGCACAAAAATTAGCTCAGTGTAAAAAACTATTTTAATTGTGCTATGATGCCAGAATGTAAACTCCATGCTGTAAAATAATTGTTTAATAATTATTCCATAAAAGAGGACATTTCGTAAATATATTTTTCTCTGATAATGTTTTCTATAAATAAGAAACATCTGGTTACACGTACAGTTAATTTCACCCTCTTTGATTTTGTTACACAACTTGCTGCTCCTTGCTTCCCTCAGTGTCACGTTCGCTTCGATCTCTCCTCTTGTGTCAAAAAATGCGAACAGCTGCCTGATTACTGTCAACGTTTGGACACATTTTTATACTCTTGTTCCTCTGCTGAGTACATGACAGGTTTTGCTTTGTGCAGCAGAGTCTCGGTTTGTCAGGATTTCACGTTTAGTTTTGAGTGTGTGTGTGTGTGTGTGTGTGTGTGAGAGAGAGGGGAAAGAGAGACAGGGAGCATGGCGGCAGGAGGGGTGCCGGTGGATGTTGGAGAGTTAAAGATGCTGTTGCAAATGAAGCCTTCCTGGGTCGGAGACAGCACACACAGCTGGGGAGCAAATTGTGACAGCTGCTTGTGCTGAAACATGCAGCGTGTGCAAGCATGGTTGTGTTACTCATGTGCGTAAAATGCTGAAAAAGATCGTAAATAAAGCGATATTAAAACACATGCCTGTCTCTGTGTTTATATAACCCACACATCACATCTCTGCTCCCCCTCCACAATGTTTGGGATGAGGAACTTACTACGATGAGGGCATCTCGCGAGAGTTTGGGAAGTTGGACTGGGGATTGTAGTTTTTCTCTGCACGGTTACGCATGCTGCAGCTGAAGCAAGTTTGGAGGAGATTTGTGACACAACCTGGGGAAATCTAGGCGCTGAGATGTCTCTCTGCACCTGTTCCCACGTTTCTTTATTAGTTATCAGCAGTATGATGCGGATAGAATACCTAAAATAGACGAGTGACTCATGTCGAGGTGGGAGCAGGCTGACCTCACAGACTGGCATCTCTTCAGCCAATAAAACGTCTCCATGCGCTCTCCGAAGGGCGGGAAAACGCATACATTTTTCACCAATGAGAGCATCCTTTCATTCATAAAGTGGTGTGGGCAGTTTTTTTCCGAAAGCGTGGGTTCGGAAGGTTTCATAATCCTGACTGAAACCGACAAACCTGCTCCAGCGAGAGCCAATGACTGCCTTCAGATGGGAGCTACCGTAATGTTTGCCCAATCGCTCCTCATCCCGGTCTCCCTTTGACCCGCCTTGCTTCATACAGAAAATCGAATGAATGGGAAAAGCTGTGGGGTTGATTGACATGTAAGTGTGCCAACCAGAAAGGTAGATCAGCCGAGAGACAGCTGCAGCAGCCAGTGTGCCGCAGAAAGGGGCGGGGCGGAGTAGGAGATGGGCGGTGCACTTTAAATCAGGCTAGACAAGTGTTGGGGGAGTTGGGGGAGTGTGTGTGATGCTACAACCTCCTTATAAAGGGACTCTCTCTCACGTTGTGGCTTGGAAATTAGAGCACATTGCCTAAAATTAAGGTCTCAACACACACGCCGAGTCACCGAGAAGCCGCTGCCATGAACTGGATGAACGTTGAGGAGACTCTCCGCAGGGCCGAGACGGCTCTCTTCTGGGTCGGTGCGTTCACTGTGGCCTCCCTGGCGCTGTGGCTGCTCTACAGGCTGCTCTCTGGCTTCAGGATCTGGGTCTTGGGGAACGGACAGCTGCTCTCTCCGAAGCTGGGAAAATGGGCAGGTGAGTTGGGTCACATCAATTTTCACGCCACCTACATCACGGTCACGAAGAGGGCAGCTCAGGAGCAGGCAGGTGGACTCGACGAGAGAACAGCAAAATGGGGTTATTGGGCTAAAACTTCACTTTGGCACAGAGAGGAGCTGCTTTCTGCTGCGTTTTTGTGGCTTAATTCAAAGGGGAGTTTGGTGTTGCGTAACACGCGCAGGTAAGCAGCTGATTGACTGGCAGGACAATGCTCCTTATTAGCTTCAATTGTTTTTTGTTTTTTTCCTCTGGTCCTCGAGTAAAACACCGCAGCGACTCCTCCTGCGTTTTCACCCACATTTGGAGCGGACAGGGGGATGCCCCACATTGGTGAGCCAGGAGCCAAACTGAGCAGGCTATGCGCACTTTTCAGAGAGCTGTTTTATGTGGGTGAGCTATCAGGCAGCGCACTACTGAACCACATTAGCCCATCTGCTTGATGTAGGACAAGCCTGTATGCCCAATTAAAACGTGACCTACATCCAGATCATCTTCGTGGCTCATGTTTTCTCAAACACTGTAACCCACTTAAGTAGTTGTACTCCAATAAGACTCTTTTGTTAAACAAATCTTTGACCTCACTTTGTGTATGAGCATAACCAGTCGGTGTCATGCTTGTGATTGTGTCGTCGCTTCTTTCCCATCATTGCTTGTCACATCACCTTGTCCCATTCCGTGTGCATGGCACACACATGCCTACAAATCTTGATCAACATTTTTTAGTATTTGTCGCTCAATAATGTTCTTTATTAAATCCTGCTCGTGCAGATAGACGCGAGTTCCCACTGAAATCTGTGCGTATTTTGATTCAGTGGAGCCTAGTCTCTCAGGAATCGCCCTGTTATGGCTTGACCCACTTCTCTAGTCTCCTATTTTTGAGGAGACTGCTGCGTCTGGAGCCTCTTGCTGCGCAAATTCTAGCGAGCTCTTTTCATCGGATGGATTTTATGATCTTCATTCTACCACCCAAAACAAGGCGAAATGCATTAAGACTTCTCCTGTGGGGGGGTTTTCTTTGATTAACCCACATGTTTATCTGCACGATGACGCACTTTGCCTCCAAATCGTCTTCCTTTTTAAGAATGAGGTGTTTAATTGATGCCATTTTGCGCCAAAAGAGAGGATAAACGAATGACGCAATGGTAAGGTGCCTTTAGGAATGTCTAATGTACATTTTTTTTGTGTGTGTGGTTCTGCTGGAATATGCGGAGGAATACTGGTGCACAACGATGAGTCATGCGCTTGTTCATCGCTTCGTCATCCATTGGTCATATAGAAATTGTGATACCCCCACCCCCACTGTTCCCTCCACCTGCAGAGCCCCTAGTTTCTCTTGTTGAGGTTTCCTTCCTGTACTTTCAAGAACCCAAAATGATTCTTCAGGCTCATTTTGTTGCAGTCAAGAGGCTTTTTTCTGTTGGATTAAGTGTAATTGGCCAAATCAAAGCCTTAAGTGTTGATGTTCTGGATATGCTCGTCAGTTAAAATTTCAGTTTTGACTTCAGTTATCAAAGGGTTAATGGAAACTATTGACCGATTTTTCCTCGCGGTCACAATTTATTATTGTATTCTCTGTCTTGGGAACTTGCATGCCACTCCCTGAAACCAGTCTGTGCCACCAGTTTGACAAGTCTGACGTTAATTGTCAATCACAACGGTTGGAGCCATGGCAGGAAGTGAATATGTGGAAGCTGAGGAGGGAGGGGGGGGGGTACGATGTGTGCTTAGGATGAGGTGTCCTCCTCAGCTGGTTGCACCAGATGTGCAGGTCTGACCAGGTTTTTGCAGTGGTGTGATTTATTGTTCTGACAAACACATGCGTCAATAGTGTGAATGCCTGTCTCCACCTTTAACTTAAAGACACAAGCACCTGTTGAAACACGTTAAACCTTTCCTCCTCCTTCAGTATTATTTGTTAATGCAATATGAGCGTGTTAAGTGAGGTTATCAAACACTTTAGACAACTATTTACGGGGAATATCTTAGTAGGAAGTCACTCAAACTTAAGGACATTTCAAATTTAAGTTTTCTTTTACATTTTGAGAATATTTAGTTTTAAATCAAGATTCTATCATCTTAAATATGTCCACACTTTAGAACTACAACTGGACTAAATTACAGCCTCAGATTTTATTGTAGACCCCAAATTAATAAGTTTGAGTTACTTTTATGCTAAAATTGAAGAATATTATGTTTAGCTGTTCAAATAGTAAGTAAGCAGTGCCAGATATCTCCTTTATTCCACTTGTGGTTCTAAAAGTTCCATGCTCCCTAGAAGAGCTTGTCATCCTTCAGACATGTGCTTTTTGCAATCCCACAAGTCTGCTGTTGCAACACAGACAAATGCCGCTTTCTGGTCAAACAGGTTTCAAAGTCTGCCTGGTACGCCTAAGATCAGATAAGAGTTAATCCCTTCCTCTTCTATAAGATCAAGTGGATATTGTTAATTTTAACAGTTTTTTAGTTTAGAGTTTTTCCATGTGATGGCTGCACTTCTCACTCTGCAGCTCTTACATGCAGAGTGGAGAGAGGACAGAGAGAGAGAGCAGGGATTTCTCTGGAGTTCCTCTGCTGGTCTTCCCCTTGAGCGCATGAGACCCCTAGTGGCAGAACAGGAGCACTGCAGCCTGAGTTAAAGCGGCTTCCCCAGCCTCTCCACTGCACTGAGCATCCACACTCACCCTCCCCACCTCCTGCCATCCATGTCTGCAGCACTGTTTTTTTTAAACCTTGGATGCAGGAATGGCACTTCTCTACAGCATGAGACATTTTTGTCCTTTTAGTATTTTATATTTAAGCTTTTGTTTATTAAAAAAAATGCATGAAAAGTAAGGGTTATTCCTGCTTTCTTTTTTTTGCAGCAATGTGTCTTACAGAAAGATGTTAAGTCTCAGAGGACACGCATTCAAAGACTTCTCTTGGTATTCGGTTGTAATTTTGCACGTTTCTAATGTTTTTATCTCAAATTGTATGTTTTCACTTCCGCTGGAGCAGCATTGAGCTTTTTAACGTGCATTAGAGCGCAGTCTTCTCCTATTCGCTCGCTTCACTCTTAGCCCCCAGCATCCCGTATTATATAAGGGAGCCAGTGTCTGCTCTGTTGCGTGTGTGTAAAACTCCATTACAGCGAAGAAAATTAGACCAAAGGGAGGTTTTTTGCGAGGGTGGGGGGCTGCTGTTGGGATGGGACATGCGCCTTAGAAGTGCCCCCCTCCTTCCTTTGACATCAGAGTTTATTGAGAAAATGGTGCTATTATATAAGAGGGATGCAGCCATTCATCAGCAGCGGCACAGGAGTGACAAAGACTCGGGTCAGCACTTACGCAAGAATTTCGTTGAGTTTGATTCGGCTCCAAAAATAAACATCAGAGGCGTGTGAGTTTGTCAACATGAGCGTTGGGCCAATCAGAGCTCCGGGATGGCTTTAATTATTATTATGAGAGAATAACTGTTGTTTTTTTATGAATAAGATTAGGCTCCATTCTGAGGAACATGCACACATGTGAATTAAATCTCTTCCTGTGTGTGTGTTTCTATTGAGGCAGGGTCTCCACGTCTTTTTCATCCTTGTGAATGTGCTTCCCCCTAGTGATTTTTATGAGTGACAGCGTGTGTGTGTGTGTGTGTGTGGGCGGAGAGAGAGAACACTGCTGTTCATGTGATGAACACGCTCTGTGACACGTGCCCGAGCCAGGGATGCTGGGTAAAAAAAAAAAAAAGGAGGGAGAGAGGAAAAAAAAAGAATCCTCTGCATCTCCCTCATTTCAAGCTCCTCTCAATCCCCCCCCTCCTCCCCTCCTCTCACCCATCTCCCCATCCAGCAGGTGTGTGTATCTGTTTCTCTCTTTGAGTCTACCGTCTCATCATCTCCCTCTGAGCGTGTTGAG